TGACTCAAGGCAGTGACAAAGTGTTCCTGGATTTTGGTTCCACTTGGAATTTAATGGTTTGGGGGAAATATGACTCTGAGAATCTCAAATTAGCTCCTCTACCCATGTCCCAAGCACATGTCCCAGCCACGTGAGGTGACAGGTGACTCAAGTATGTGGTGTGGCTTGTCTAGGTAAAGTGTGTCCTTAGATGGTGACTCTGGGTTTTGATGTGTTCTTTGGTACTTGGAGAGATTTTCCTGTACCGTGTTGACTTGGTCTGACTTCTGATCAGCGACGTGGGGAAATGTGGCACGGACTTCCTTGCCTAGTCCCATCACTGTGTCTCATGTAAAGCCTCAAAGAAGTCTTCAGTAAGAAGAGATGACCCACTAGACAATTCCACTGTTACTATCATGGAGCAGTTGCGAGGGTGCAGCATCTGAGCTGCCAGAAATGTTAAGCATGTGATCACAGGTGTAGAATTTAGGTATTTCTGACAATATTAACATTTCTATGGTTTCTTGATTTCGTTCTTGTAAGGTGTTTTTTTGTTTGTTTTTTTGAGACAGGGTCTTACTTTATAACCCTGACTGACCTGGAACTCTGTAGTCCATGTTAGCATTGAACTCACAGAAATCCACCTGCCTCTGCTAAGTGCTAGGATTAAATTCATGTACCACCACCCCTGGCTACTGTAAATGCTAAATAATAAAACCTGAAAATGATGAGGGCTAAAACCTCCCTAAACTCCACCTAGTATCTGACTGGAGTGAGCAGGAGGGAGGATCACATGAGTCTCTGGGCTGAAGGAGGTCAGGAGCAGGCTGCCAACACAGGCCAGCCAGGCCATAGCCATCTCACAAGTGGCCTGTTTGCTTGTCTGACAGCCTCTGTGCAGTGGGCAGTCCTGGACAGAACAGGGCATCAACGGCAAGGTGCTTCCCTCTAGGTCTCCGAGATTGACAGCTTTGCTCCTGGACTGAGAAACAGCACGAGGCTGCCTTTCCTGAGTATGAAGTCCCAGGATGCCAAGAGTTGCATGCTGGGGAAGGGAGAGTAGCTTAGAGTGACAGACAAGGGACTGTGTGGGGTCCCTGCCCTCTGGGAGGGAGATACAATCTGTGCAGCTGTGGGACGTTATCATCCCTGCTGGAGTGAGCCTTTTCCGTGGTGAAGCTGCCTTGGGGTCCCCCACACTCCTGTAAGTGGCCCCTCACCCATGCTTTCCAAGAAAGCCCAATAAACTCACTGGTTCCCCAGGCTGGACTTTGCTGGGATCACGTTTGGTTTGTCCTTGGAGCCCTATAAAGAGGGGGTGGTTTGTTGGTATCTTCCCAGGGAGAGCTCCTGAAACATACATTGTACAAATATTGTAGGGACATTGCTTTACCATCATATGCTGAAACCAGATACCCTCCTAGCTCCTTTAGAGATGGAAGAATCCAGCACCAGAGCTTGAGGTGTTCTGAGAGGGCGGTGGGGTGCACGATCTCAGGGTGTTCTAGCAGGGAGTAGGGGTGCACTGTCACAGGAACATGTTTCCCCAGAGGTTGTTTATGGGGACTGCCTGAACCCTGCCTGGCGTGTAACACTGGAGCTTCTCACAGTCAGTAGTCTCTCAGCATGACTTTAAAGTTATTTAGCATCGAGGTTTTTGTTTCTCAGACTATGGTGAGTCATTGAAATTTTCCCAGGTACAGAGAAGATTAGCAGATATAATTGATTAGAAAGGGCTTTAGGTTAAGAACTGATAGAACAGTCCTATATCATTCATAGAAGATAGAGGGCTGAAATTAATAGATGGTGTAGTTGTGGCTGGAGAAGTATTCTCAACTCACGAGAACACAGACAGAGCTACTGCTCCTGTGAACTGGCAGCTCCCTGGTAAATGACCCCACTCACCACAGTTGCAGCATGTGGAATGAAGACCCCCATCCCCCCATCTGTGGGAGGCGGAAATTAAGGGAACAGGCTGTTTCTCTTCTCTGCCTCTTTTGTTCCATTCCTGCTGGTTAGTGGAAAAGTGATCTTGGATGGAAAAATTAGAACTTTGATAAGTCTCTGTTCTGAGATGGAGTCGTTGCCATGCCACAGACATTTGGAGAGGAGTGTGTTTATTGAAATGTATTTTTATAGAAAATATTACAGAACCTGTAATTGAAAACTTATGGCAGCGTTTTGTGAAGTGATATGTTCTTAATGTTAATTTGTGGATTCGCTCTGAACCCCCTTCTGCTGTGTAGAGCCATTGGCTGGGAGAACATTTTCCAAGAATCTTTTCAGCCCTAAACTGTGTTTCATGGAATGGAGTGTTTGATGCTTAAATAATATATAAATCTAGTTGGACAGGAGCTGCCTGTCAGTTTTATTAACTTTGACCTTTTCGCCCATTATAAAGGTGGTTCAGTTAATATTTAATGGGCCCCTTATAGATCTTGACAGTTGGAGCCATGTTCCTGGAAACTGGGATCATATATATGATTAACAAATGTCACCTAATCATATTATGAGTCAACTTGCAAGGGCAGGTTTTGTTTGGGAGGAAGAGGAGTCCTTCCACCCACGTGAGTTCTTGGGAGCTGTACACTGGGAGCCTCCAGGATGGTAGAGGCTTCATAGACCCGGAGAAAGACAAGCAGCAGTCAGCATGCACATCTGCTGTTTTGCTTTTTGTTTGTTGGAGCAAATGATCAAATGATGCCAGGTGGACAGAATCCCCTGCCACTCTGCATAGTTAGCAGGACTCTGCCTCACAGAGCATCAGCAGGCCTGGTTTGGCTGAGCTTGGACAAAGAACCACCGGCTGAGGGCTCCTCGGGCCAGGGGCAGCCCTGTCAAGCTATCTTTCGCTTTAACTCCATAAAGGCCCAAGTGTATTGCTCTCGTTGCAGATTCTGGTAGGGAAGATCGAAGCCTGGACAGCTGACATTTTGAAACACTGTCTTTCAAACTTGTGCTGTCCCTTGTTCCCATTGATTTCCCATTTAAGGAATCTGTAGGAGAAAACCAAATTTGAGCAAAATTCATTGGTCTAAGATGAGTTGTTAGAGCCAAATCATGTCCCCTTCTCCACTCTGCAAAGAGCTCCACTTTTATCATGAGGGCCATATGTCTTTGTCCTGTGTGGGGCGGCCACACACTCCCCAGCAGATCGACCAGAGCCTGTTAAGATGCCGTATGCTCCAAACACAGACGTGTGGTCTTGCTAGGTCACCGAGTAGCTTCACTCTTACAGCTACTTGCAAGGAGCACATCATTTCAACTGGCTTTGTTTTCTCCACACTCTTGTTTGTGTGCCGCGCAACAGCTGTAGGTGAACCCATTTATTTTTCAGAACGTTATTACCCTTTGCATCCTGGGCCTGGCCCTTTATATATGGTGGTCACTGTTTTCAGTACCGTGAACTGCAATGCAGCTGACTTGGCAAAGACAACCCATGCCTTGGAAGAATAATCAAGAAGAAATTGACTCAGAGCTTTGGAATGTGAATTACTGTTTGTATGTTTAGTTAATTCTAAATATATGTTTGAAAGACTTTGCTTAATTTGAGAGGAGAGAAGGAAAGCATATTGGATGTTATAAATGGTCTCAATCCAAATTCTTAGCTTGACATTTGCACATTTGAGTGTTTTGTTTACATCTGTTCAGGATTGAGATACCTTTCAAGGCTCATTTTGTTGTAGAGAGATTGATGAAATTCTTAGAGTCTAAAATGCAGAAGCATGGGAAAGCTACAGCCACTTGTCACAGCCGGTCTGAGCTTCATTCAGCAGTCCGTGAGCCTGAAGAGGTAGCTGCTTCCAGCTCGGAGATCTGGATGGAAGGAGTGGCACTGACTGCCTTGGGGCACAAGGGAGCTTTCTGCAGTAATGGAAAATTTCTGTGTCTTGATTGGGGTGTTGGTCACACAAATCTATGCCTTTGTCAGAACCCATCAAATGGTAGACTTAAAATGTGTGCATTATATTTTACACAAACAAAGTCAATAGAGCGGATTTTTATAAAAATGGTTTGGTTTAGAACTAGGCAGTGCCATTTCTCTTTTCCAGTGAAGAAGTTGAAATACTAGAGAGAGTAAAATGATCTGTCCTAAGTAACCTCAAAGCTCAGCAGTTTGTCCAGGAATAAAGCAAAGGATGCTAGTCCTGAGCCCACATCAGAAATTCAGCTTCCTCCTGGTTCCATTGTTCCAGTGAAGTGAAAATGAAATTGAGTTTTGTTCCAGTCCTCCCCAGACCTACATCTGTAGGTGTTGTCAGGTAGAGTCCCCTGAGCCTGTTCTTATACTGAGACATGGCCCCTAACCGTTGGAACTGTGACTCCAGGGAAAGGTTCTGAGTGCTGGCTTGTGTGCTCGAATCCATGTGGCTGGTTCTGTTGCGGTCCTGGCTTGCCACAGTCAATTACGAGTTTCATAGTTTTTATTACAAGCAAGACAGGTCAGTAGCAAGAGCTCCCAGAACCGACATTTTCTTCAAGGGAAAGCCCTTTGGGTCTTACTAGCAGAGTGACAGAAGCTTTAAAACTATTTCCATAAAACATGCATGAATAATTTTTCACAGCAAAAATTACCCAGTTCTACAAGTATTTTTGGTCTTTTCGAGACAGGGTCTCCCTGTAGCCCCAGCTATCCTGGATTCACTATGGAGACCAGGCTGGCCTCGAACTCACAGAGATCCACCTGCCTCTGCCTGGCTTCTTTTTAAGTGTTGTTTGGTTCACAGTAGCTTGATTTTGACTTAGTGAAGCCGTGCTGTAAAGTGTCTTTGATATTCTGACCAGCTCATTGTGTCCAGTTTTCAGTGGAGCACTCTTGCTGCGATGAACAACCTTGCTTCTTTTTCTTTTCATCTAATTATCGCTGTCAGCGTAAGAAATTCCTTACAACAGAATGTTGTTAGCAGTATTTGAAATAACTTAAAATGTGTAAGGCGACAGAGTGGTCTGGGATGGATCGTGCATTGCCTGTTGCCCTGCACTCACCAGATACTCTCTCCCTGTCCCTCATGTCTCTACAGCTGCAGTACCATGCAGGCCTTGCATCTGGCCTTTTGAATCAACAGTCCTTGAAGCGGTCTGCAAATCAGATGGGCGTGTCTGCTAAGCGTCGGCCGAAGGCTCAGCCCACCACTCTGGTTCTCCCACCTCAGTAAGTGAAGGACTTGAAGAGGCTTTCCAAAGTCTGGGTGAATGCTGCTTTGTGCTGATTCGGGGCTCAATGGGACCCCCCCCCGCCCCCGCCAAATAGTTTCTTCCTTTTCAAAAGGCTTCTGATGGGACTAGAAGGTGTAACTGGCCCAGATCTTTCTGGACCAGTTCCTAGTCCCCGTGTCTTGTGTGAGACTTTCTCCCTATAAGTTTTAGATGTCTTCTGCTCATCATTTCTTTATCCCAGGCCTGAACCTGACAGAGCGCCAGTAGAGTTGTCTTTCTTTTACAAAGGACCCAGCTGAGGAGCACATTTTTCAAGCACAGACCCAGAGGATGTGCTGGAGCTGGGGCAGAGTCATAGCAGGGATCGTAGATACAGCGAACAAAGAAACAGGCAGTGTGGCCACTTTGTAGTCGTGTACATCCATGAAGCTGCCACTTCCAGAGCCCTAGAGAATTCATCCTCACGCTCCCAGTCTGTACTCGGGCTGCCACCCACCTTACATTGAACAGCCTTCTCATCCGTTCAGACAGTTCCTTTTAGCCTGGTGTGGTGGCACATGCCTGTAAGTCCCAGCACTCAGGAGACTGAAGCAGGAGGCTCTCGAGTTTAAGGCCATTCTGGGCTACATAGCAAGATCCTGTCTCCAAAAGCAAAAACTAACAACAGAAACACAATTTTCCTAGTCCTTGAATGTTACATAAATGGAGTCATGTACATATAAATGGATACATGTTCATATCATTGTTTGTACTGGGTATGTTTGTGGGTACGTGTATGTGTGTGTGTGCACCTGCAGGTACTGGGATTGAACCCAGGGTCTCATGCCTAAAAACATGCTTAACACCAAGCTCTACCCCTAGACCAGCGTAGGAATAGGAAACACAGGTCTCTTTTTCCACTTAATATGATACTTGTTAGATCTACCTAGGCTGTTTTATTATTGTTGTCATCGATGCTTTGAAGATGTCATGCAATGCACTTTGGTCATATTCAGGACCCTCCTCTGTCTCTGCTCTCTTTCTCTATGTAGTGTTCCTGTGACTGTGCCACAGTTGGTCATCACTTGCCCGTTGAGTTGAGTTGCACTAGAAGGCCTGGGATGTGCTGAGGCTCACTCTGGTGTGACAGGGATGTGGGCCTGGCAGCCCCTGCTGGTGGGTGCTCTATCAGGTGCACACTCCTCCGAGAGGGACCACAGTCCCCAAAGGCTGGGCGTGGACTTCAGGTGCGGTCCCCCACCCATCCTGCTTTCCTCTGTCCTCTCCCTTACTCAGCTCCTCAGTTACAAACGCATCTTTACCTTTCCTGCCCAAAGGAGCATTTGCACGGAAGGCTTGCTCGATTGCCCTTGCTCAAGAGCTCCTTCATGTGTTTGGTTAGCAAATATTTCCTGTGCCTGCTATGTGTGGGCACAGTTCCTGCCTCAAGTCATAAGCAAGATGGTCCCTAACAGCAGCGATTCCAGTTAGCGTTGTGTTAGGAAGAGAATAAATAGGAATAAAGTGGGGGGAAGGGCCTGCTTAAGTGGAGTGGCCACAGAGGCCACTCTGTAGAGATGACCCCAGGCAGACTTTAGGAGAGAAGACAGGCTGGGGAGGCCCCAGGGATGACTTGGGCTTCCTCCAGCCGCAGGCACCTTCCACTACTATCTGTGCTCTGCACCTCCTCACAGTCTGCACCCGCCTCTCTGACAGGATGAGCACAGCAAGCAGCACCCTGTCATTTTCACTCGTGCTGCATGCACACACGTGTCGGGGCCTGGAGAGGCAGGAAGCTGCATGCAGAGCATTGCTCCTCTGTTGCTCACACATTGACTTGGTGACTGCACATCTCAATGTGCAGCTCCCTGAAGTCTGATGGGCCTTGTAAGCTGTCATTTTCCCTGCGTGGATTGTCTACTGAGGAAAGATGTTTGGCAAGAAGTGAAAGACTTTCTAATGGTCCCATAAGACTGAAGCCAAAAAGGGTTTATTGCTAACTCTCTCTTGACAAAAGTCAGTTCTTGGTCCATCTGTTCACCATTTGTTAATTTGCATTGGCTTGAAACCTGTGTACAGGTGACATGCTATTATGAGGACACTCCGAAGCTATTTTAAGCACCGAGGCAATCAACAGACACTGTTCTGATGCCAAAGGAAAAAAGAGCGAGGCATTCACAACTGTCATTATAAATTTATAACAGATCACTCAAAATACTTAGTTTCAAAGCGAAAAGTGGTTACTGTGTCCTAGGAATACAACAGTGAAATGATTTCCTATGCTCTGGGCTACCATCCTGTGACGTCGGTGGCTCTTCTCTCACCTCACTGAGCTCTGGGGCTGTTTCCTGGAAGCCTTCACAGAACTGCTGCCTCGTAGGCAGGATCTATAGACTTCCACTCTGCCTTCCATTGTGTTTGATGTTGGCTGGGAATATGGCAGCACAGCTGATGGCCTACTGGGGCATGAAAGTTTTTTAAAAGTTTTTTTAAAAAAAGCAAAATACCTAGCACTAGTAACATGTGCATTGTATTGTAGATTTAAAGAAAGACCAAAGATAGAAATCATCCATGCATCCAGAAAAGCCCATTAAGATTTTGGTGGATATTGTTCTAGACATTTAAAAAAATATTTTATTATTTTTTATTTTATGTGTATGAATGTGTTACCTGCATGGATGTAAGTGCACTCGTGTCATGCGGTGCCTGCTGAGGTCAGAAGAAGGCATTGAATCCCCTGGAACTGGAGTGCTTTTAACCACTTAGCCATCTCTCTGGCCCCCAGATGTTTTTTTCCTAAATGTATTTAAAATTATTTTTAAAAATAAAACTCACCAAAAAGGATCAAATTGCACAGGGACTGTATGGTTTGACCTGTGAAGTATTCAAACTTGCATGTTAATAGCAGGGTTATAGTTCTATCATCCTACAGAAGAATCCTAATCACAAAACCCCCTTATGACTCACCCAGATCTGCAAAGGTGACTGTTAAATAGTCCTGTAAAACAAATTACCCCCAGACTTAGAGTTTACCTGTTGTTGCCAAACAAACAGCTCAGGCTTAGTGCTTTAGCAGCAATGAGCATTTTCCGTTCTGTCATATGTGGGTCAGGGTTCTGTGAATGGCTGGCCTGGGAAGTTCTGGGTCAGCGTTTCCAGAATGTTCTAATGAGGCAATGGCCGGGGCTGTTGTCATTGAGGGCACAGCTGGAGTCAGGTGCTGTATCACTGAGGCTGCTCAGTTGTTCCAGCTAAGCTCTCAATGACTAAGGCCCTGGCCAGTGTCTGACTCAAACATTCTGACAGACTCCAATAGCAAGCAAGCTGATGTTAGGTTAACTGGTGGCTGGAGGCTGTGCTTGTCAGTATGGGTCTCATCACAGGCTTCTTGAGTGTCCTCAGGGTATGACACTGGCTTCTTTAAAAGCAGCTATCGCCAGGTGTGGTGGTGCATGCCTTTAATCCCAGCAGAGGCAGGCAAATCTCTGAGTTCAAGGCCAGCCTGGTCTACAGAGTGAGTTCCAGGAGAGCTGGGGCTACAGGGAGACCCTGTCTCAAGTAGACAGAAAAAAAAAAAAAAAAAAAAAGAAGCTACCTAGAGAATGAGCCAGGAGGAGCTTGTCTGTTTGAAGTCTACCCGTTTGCAGACAGAGTGTCTGTTGTCCGCTATTCCAGTCACTGGAAACCAGACTCTAAGTCTGACTGACATTCGGCAGGCGGGCACAGGCTGAGCTCTTTGAAGGAAAGTGTGGCAGGGAATGTGCAGACGTGCTTTAAGTATACCAGTTGCCAGTGGGAAGAGACTGCAGGGATGGGAGGTGAGTGCGAGCCCTGTGCACTGAGTCAGTGTTTACTCGGGCCCACAAGTGCGCCAGTCCATGCACCGTGTCAGTGTTTCAGAGAGGAGTGAAATGTACTCTTAGCTTTCCATAGAGACGGGAACAAGTAAATTATAGGACATCATCATAAGACATGTCCTAAATCCTATGATGGATATGATCTGTGATACCTGGTCAGGGTGCTGTTGTAGAACACAGTCCTCTGAGCATGGTGGCCATCATCCATCAGAGCAGCTGTGATTTCAGGAGAGCCTCAGGCTTTTTGACTGTTAACTTTCTTTCATAGGAGGGTGGGGGGGGTCATTGGATCCTCATCCGAGATTCTGGCAGCCCCCTCTTGCTCCTCCCAGCCTTCTGTGTGGACTTCTGCCCTAACTGCATGTGGCCTCATGTTCTTGAGAAGTGCTAGGTGTGTAGAGTGTGTTGGGGTGACTGACATGGGGACCCTCATCTGTGCAGCTGTGGGGAAGCTGTCATCTGTCTGGAGTGAGCCTTTTCTGTGCTGTGGCTGCATCGCCGTCACTTATGCTCTGTAAGCCCAGTGAGCTGGGTGGTTCCCTGATTTGGACTTTGGTGGAATTGTACTTTGATTTGTTCTTATTGGGGGAGTGACATTTATAGACATCTACCCCAGGAAAAGAGCTCCCACAAAAGGTGCTGAGGGGCACCCACTTAGGGAGGCCCCAGAGAGTTTTTCCAGGCTTCTCTCCTGCCAGCTGTGCCAAGGGAGCCAGATGCTTCTTTGCCCATGCTTCGAAGGCCAGGCTGGGTGAAAGAAAGCTGCTAAAGGCTTGGGGTTGCTTCTCCCTGAGCCCCTCTGTGCTGGCCCTGCTGAGATGTGCAGAGACCACAGGCAGGATTGTCAGCGAGTTGCAGATGTGTTTGCTTTTCAGCTGCAGATGGCTTTGACCGTAGTAATCTGAACTCAGATTCCCCCTTGTTCATAGGATGAGTGGTTGGTGGGATTAAAGCTTCCTGTCTTTCTCCCCCCCCCCCCCCACCGAAGAAGCTTGGAAGGAGATAAAGATGTTCACGCTGCAGGCTGTCTCAGGGAGCTTGCTAAGTGCCCTCTCTGGCTCTCCTGAGCACTCCTCCTAAGTACTCTCCGCTTGCAGAAGGGATGCCTTCCTTCTCTGAAGAGCCTGCCCCCCTGTTGCTGGGGAAACATTGCCAGTCT